TTTTTTTTTTTTTTTGGTACAAAGATAGAAGGCAAGAGCCTAGAGAATTTGAGGCAGATATATTCCGCGGGTAAGCAACGCCAATGAGGTCACGTTGTTGCCACAATTTAACTATCGATGATGGGTCTAATAATCGTTGGCAACCACTAGGATATTGATGCGCTAGAGTTGCCAAACAATCGGCCGCAAAATTAGCTTCCCTATAGCAGTGGGCTACTGTAGCCTCCCATTCCCTGCTACGCAACTCTTGGATGACCGAAACCACACTACCATGAACTCCAAGGATCTCCTTTGAATCGCCATGCACCATTGACACCACGCTTTTATTGTCTACCTCGACAATGATCTTTCGATAGCCCAACTCCCAGGTTAAGAGGAGGCCCCACAGCTCGACGTTCATGATAGAGCAGAAACCGATATTCATGCTGCCACTTTTCCAGACGCAGTAAGAAAGGAGCCATCCGTATTGAGTTTGACAAGTCCAACTCCCGGAGCTTCCCACCGAATGAGGCGGACTACACGGTCATTGCGGAGACCCCCATTTCTCTTTCAAATGATATATATAATATTATAATTAAGTCGTAAGCACGCACTACTCTTTGCATTTGCATACAATTATTAGAATAAATTATTTATTAATCAAACATTTATTGATGTGTCCTAATTAAATATGTTACTACATTGTCCTTATAACGGCACATTTTCATAATATGTCAATTTTTGGGTGAAATCTGGTTTTTCTTTAATTAGAGTTATCTCAAAATTGATTAGTCTTAAAAATTGTAAGACTGCTACCAATTAATTAGTTTTCAGTGAAATTAATTTTGACACTCCTCTAAATTATAGGAATATTGTTTTTTCAATACAAGGTCTGAAAGATAGATAAACTATCAAATCGGGGCATAATTTTTTTTTTCTCAATTTTTTTTTTCCCGAAACGACAGAAAATTTTATATCAAAACGTACAAACGTGCAAATTACAACTTAGAGCCGCAGCCAAAAGCTGAATAAACTGGGAGGACTTGTCCGAAGACCGCCTAAATCCGACACTAGCAACGCTAGAATCTCAACACACAAAACACAACAAAAACTACCAAAATAACTACGAAGCTCCCAACAGGAGAATCTTCTAGCTCCCAACAGGAGAATCAACACTGAGGCCAACGGTCCATACCAAAAACACGAGACCTAACGAAACAAACAAACAAAACAAAGGAGCATAAAAACGAAACTACCGAACAAAACAAAACAACAGCCCAAAGAAAACGAGCCCTTCCAAAGAAGATACACTAAACCGAACCAGCAGAAACGAAGCAACTTTGAATCCCGCAGCTTGAAGAACCGGCCCCGAAACTGCCCAAACCACTCGGTGGCCTAACGGTGTCGAAACCCAAACCCCGAAATAGCACCAAGTCACTCCACTCCACGACCACCACACCCGAATGCCCTGGACGGACAAAAGGGTGCCGCGACCACAACACCCAACCCCGAACCACTTGGAATCAGACCGAGGCCACCGCACCGTCACATCGCCTCTTCAGCCAACACCACTGGCCGAAAGAAGAAACACGACGACCCCTGCTACTCGACGCCGAGAACAGAGGGAGACGGCCTCGAACATCAACGACGCCCCAACCACCCGACCAAGAAGGAAGTCGAGCAATTGAGACGCGTCCCACCCCGAGAACAGCGCGGCGGCTCCACCGCCCTCCAACAGAGAGGCCACCGCACGGAATTGATGCGCCGGCGCTGGAAAAAGCAACGACCCGTCGCATGAGGCGAAGCCCGACTCCATGGAGCGCGGAAGATGAGCGGAAAATTGGGGGCGGGAACCAAACGGCCAAGGGCCGGAGACCGCCGGCTAAGCCCAGCGACGACTGTGGAAGGCTGACGGAGGCGGAGATGAGACGAGAAGAAACGAGCGGATTTGGGGTTTTTTTTGGTTAGGTTTCGACAGAGATAAATGTTATAAAACTATCAAATTAAGTCTTAGAATTAACAAAAAATTGAGATTTAATTTCAAATTTTAAAACACCAAATTTGTTACAAAGTAAAAAAATAAATAAATAAATAAAAATGAAGAAAATTAAGGAAATACGATATTGTTGGAGAAAATTAAGGAAAGTGTGAAGCTCTTGCTCGGTTTTCTTGATATAGTCTATTTCTTTTTTTTAAAAAAAAAAAAAATATTATGCAAATGTTTACTTATTATTTTATATGATTAAGAACCAATTTTTTTTTTTTCTCTCAATTTAATGGTGTTATGAGTTTTTGTTAATTCTAGGACTTAATTTGATAGTTTTATAACATTTAACTCTCGAATTAAGAAAAAAAAAATTCAGGCTCTAATTTGATAGTTTACCCATCTTTCAAGTCTTGTATCCAAAAAACTCCCTCTAAAAGTGACCCGAAATATTATGGTTAAGTTCGCAATTTCGCATCTACATGGAGGGTAGATTCGACATTTTCCCACATATATTAATCAATCATTTGATCACACATATTTACACACACTACAAACGTGTGCATAAAATTAATTTTGATCTAACTATTAAAATTAATTCGCACAATATTGCTTCAAATTTAAAATGTTACATAGATGATAAATACTATTAATTCTCTACCATTAAAAATGAAGCTTTAATAAAAAAAAATAATGGGTCACTAAAAGGGTTTAATTTTTTTTGTTAGGGATAAATAAATAATAATTGGGGTTTAGGAGGTGGACCTTTTTTGGATTATTTGGCCGTCCGCTGATTTAATTAAGCTAATCACAGTGTAATTAAGCTTAATGCATTGGTTGATTAACCTTTGAAAATGTGAAAACAGTGACTTGGTTTGGGACCAAATCTCGTTCTCCCACATGTAGCACGTGGATTTTAATATTTGTTTAATTGAAATTTCAAGATTAGACAAGCTTAAAACAAGAAAATTACTATGTAATTAACATGCTAATTGTTCGATTTAGTAAGAGATCTATTCCCAAAACCCGAGGAGATCTGATTGGCTCGTTGAGGCTTGGACACGAACTTAAACCAAGGCCAGGGATTAACCTTTGAATATTGGCCTAAATAAGGTAGCATGCATTAATTAATTAATTTGTTTTGTGTATTTTATTTTTATTTATTTTTTTATTTAAAAAAAAAAAATCTACATTGAAGCTTTTCATGCATATTTATTTTTTTAGAGCATTGTATTTGCTAAAATTTCCAAAAATAGAAACTTTCTTTTCCCTTTTCAATAGGAAATTTTCTGAATAATATATGGTTATACTCTTAGAACCTAATCACTTTTTTTTTTCTTATTTTTAATAGTAATTTTATCATTTTTTTTAATCTTTCTCAAACATAGTAATGAATATTATTGTTGAGCTTATAATAATCCATAATAAGAATATAATTTTCAACAAAATAATAATTTAGCTTAACAATTTTTTTTATTAATTCATAATGTAAATATAAAAGCTGGTTGTTTTCCATTAAATTATTTATCACTAAATAAAAACTTCAACATGCCAATATTTTAAGATAAAATGTATTTGGTAATTGACATAAAGCCGTGAATTCTACCTCAAAAATGAATTAAATAGCATATAACATTATCTTTTTACCTTTCTTATACTGTTTTTTATTTTATTTTATTTTATTTTATTTTTTGCCTTTCTTTATCAACTTTTAAACCTACCCAACAAGATAGAGTGACTCCTTATATCGGATAAACATCTAAAGCGTTATCATCTTTTAGTTACAATATAATGAGTGTAATTATGTTGGACAAAAATATGACACAACACTATCTATATATTAACTATTTTATATTAATGGATAAACATCCAAAGGGTTGTCATATTTTTACAATATAATGAATGTAATTATGTTAAAAAAAAAACTTGGCACATCACTATCTTTTAACTATTTCAAAATTTGAGGGTTTCTATGCAATTTATAGAGATTCTCATATATATGATCATAAAATTCTCTTACCAATAATGAAATATCACTAAGGCTAGAGATAGACAAATCTAACGATTAGATAGTTATATTTTTCCAACAAATATATTCGTAATTTTAAACTAAAATTAGTGTCACACTCTAAAATCAACGTAAACAAAATTATGACATTTAATAGCATATATAAGTATGTATTTTTGTTATAAATATTAAAATATATGATGAATTGATCATCTGAACGATTAGACTGATCTCACACAAGACTTCGTGGATAAATAATTAAATATATGAATCACAAATACCTAAATTAGGACCTCCTTTCAAGACAATATTAGTGTTGTTTGACCAAAAAAGAAACTCCAATTTGCTTTACAAAAGACATATAATGCATGGCTTAAAATTACTAAACCCAAAAATCTTCCTTGGGGTTAATGGTCACATGCTTGATACTCCAAATGTATAAACATATATTCCACCTTATCAAAACCCAATAAAGCAAAAGCTATTGAAAGATTACTCAAAACCCCAACAATTTAGATTTTACTATACAAAATTCAAAATTTAAATATATATATATATACAAATAAATAAATAAATTCAACATTAATTTGTGGAAATTGCTAATGACCAAATGTGCTTGTCAAATTGTTTTGATTTGCACTATATTGCATGAAGTCCTAAAGTTTTTTTTTTTTTTTTAATATTGCATAGTTTTATATAAGTATTAACAGCAAAATTCTATTAAAAAAAAAAATTAACTTTTCTGAAATATTTACCTTGATTTCATTTGTTAAGTCAACTTTGAATAGAAGTACTCTTAAAAATTACCCTGATATGAGGTCAAGTTACAACTTTTCACTTATCTTCTGAACAGTGAATACTGAATAATGAATACCCAAAAACTATAAGTCTATACCAAGTCTTAAGCACATCATTTGTAAACACATAAAAAATAAAAAATAAAAATGTACAGAGTATCAACCGTAATGGTCAAATGATCATACTTTTTCAATAAATATGTATAATTTAAGAGAAACATAAACAAAAAAGTTTGTTATTCATAATAGTTATGCATTTTTATTTTAAAAAAAAAAATATAACGGATCGACAACTTTAACGATTAGATCGTGTCATACAATAATTTATGTTAGTATGCCGTAGATATACGGTTAAAACGGTTTTCATGGCTAGATAACCATACTGGTGAATCCCGAATGTTTTAGTAGGGGAGACGAAAAACAATATAATTTTTAATAACGTCACACATTCATATAATAGAAAAAATGTGTACTTTCAAACTTTGTACCAATTAAAATTGTTTAATTTTCTCAAGTTATGAAACTTATTAACAATGACTCAAACCTATACAATATAATAAAAATACGGAAGAGAACAAAAGAAAAATTTCATGTCCGAATTTTCTATAAGCATATATCATATATTTCCACCACATTAAATTGCATATCTTTAAGTGCTCTATATGTTAAACTTACTCTTCATATACATGAAGTCATATACTAAATTAACGTATTTATAGAAGACTTACAAGTTCTAGTTATTATTTATAATAGTTATTGCATGGATTAGTACAAATGAGTTAGGATAGAGTTGTAGAGATTTTAAATATTTTTTTTTTTCATAATCAATAAATACAATAAAAAATAAATAATAATTTATACAAATTACAAAACCAACTTTGAAATGAAATTATAAAATAAAATCACCAGAGCAGTTTGGGGGGTCCTATTGATTTGGAGGTAGGCAAAAAAATTCCACATTGCCATGCCATGTCCTCCACCCTACCAGTAGTACTATCGTGTGCCAGGGCACATTTTGCACGCGCCCCTCACCTCCGAAAATTAGAAAATTAAGAGAGTATAGTGCACATTCCTATTTTTCTTTTTATAATTGAAAAATGAGACATATTGCATAAATTAAAATATCATTAATTATTTATATTAAAAAAATAAAATAAAAATACCAAAATTCATAATTTTTCATTATCTATAAATAAAGACCACATTTGAGAGGTTTTTGAACACAACTAATTTTTCGTTTTTTCGTAATTATTTTATTATACTGACATATAATGAACATGTTACATAATAAGATGAATATGTTTTCAAATAAGATGAACATGTTACAGATTGCAAATTGAAAATAATACATATTCATCTTATTTTATAACATGTTCATCTTATTCTATAACATGTTCATTTTATTATGTAACATGTTCATCGTGTTCTATAACATGTTCATTTTATTATGTATGTAACATGTTCATCTTATTCTATAACATGTTCATTTATTATGTAACATGTTCATCTATTCTATAACATGTTCATTTTATTCTATAACATGTTCATTTTATTATGTAACATGTTCATCTTATTTTAGAATATGTTCAACTAAATTTCATCTGTGAAAATGTGACATTTTCATCTTATTCTATGACATGTTTATCTTACTCTATAACATGTTCATCTAACTATGTAACATATTCATCTAATTATAGATTTGCGTCATAATCTTCCAATAAGATAAATTAATTGTAAAAAATGATAAATTAATTGGGTTCTAAAAAAATATCAAATGTGGTCTCTATTTGTAGAGAATGAAAAAATATGAATTTTGGTATTTTTATTTTTATTTTTTGATACAAAATATGAATGATAGTTTAATTTATATAATATGATATATAAAATTCATTACCCAATAAAAATGGAACAAATGTCCCATCAGTTTTGCTATGGAGCAATCGGATGGCTCGGCTTATGGAGCAATCCACACTTACTCACCAATAGTGTATTGACACGTGTCTTACAATAAATACAATTTAGACAGGTGTCAATATATTAAGCAATGGATGACTCCATAAGAAAACAATCCTATTGCTCCATAGAATTTTTGCATGTCCCATTTTAAAAAAAAAACACTTATTTGCCTCTCACGCTCCTTTAGAAGAGATGTAAATCACATAAGGCCCTAGCGAGGTGTGCCAGACACACCTATTTGCCCCACCCTAGACTTGGGTCAAGGCCCCCCTTTTTTTTTCAATATATATTTATTTTATTTTAATTAATTCTTTATTTTATTTTATTTTATTTATATCTCTCTTTTTCCCCTTCCCATCCTATTTTTGCACTTTATTCTCTTCATTCCATACTTAATAGCTCTCTGTACTCAAAAACCAGGTTTTGAGAAGGCAAACACACACACACACAGAGTCCAATCTCCATACCCAAAACTCCATAAAAACAAAGGCCCATCTTTCTCTCTCTGCACATTCTCTCTCATCAAACCCTTAAAATTGCTCTGCATTGTCCTGTTTTTCCACATTCAGAATCTGATAGCCTCACTGTTTCTTGATTTCCTTTTGTTTCTTTCCTTAGTGGTCTGTAATTGTCCCCAAAAAAANAAAAAAAAAAAAAAAAAAAACACAGAGACACAAGGAGCCCCCTTTTGTTTTTCTGTTGTTTTCTTGAGAGATTTGATTTGGCCCCACTTGAAAAATTTCCCCTTATAATGAGGATAAACTGAAAATTTGGTGATGAAAAGAGTAGAAAAGTTTTGATCTTTGTCTTTAATTTCAGAGAGTTTGGGGGACAATTTTGTTCATGTCTGAAGTGGTGAAGAAACAATGAGAGATGGAAACTCAAAGAAAAGCAAGGTTTGTTTTGTTTTTTAATGAACTTTATTAATGGGTTATTAATGAACTTTAATGGGTTTTCACTGCTTATCTGCATTATTGTGGTTGGGAGATGCTGCAGTCCCTTTACGGAACCATTCCATCAGAGTTTGTAACCGTTAGATTATCATGTAACCGTTGGGCATAGTTGATCTAACGGCTACAAACCCCGACGGAGTGGTTCCGTAACGTGACCGTAGCATTTCCCATTGTGGTTTTCAAAGCTTCTGATTTATTTTTTTTCTTCCCATGTTTATTGCTTAAGTTTTCATGGCCCAAGACACTAGTCAAGAAATGGCTCAACATCAAAGGCAAAACTGAGGACTATCATGCTGATGACATCATCTACCAAGGTAATTTGAGTTTTCCCATGTTTTATTGCTTAGTGTTTGAATTTTAGGACATTTTGTAGATTGAAAGAGAAAACATTGGAATTTTCTGCTTGTCTGCAATATGCTGAGATCTTTACTTTTTGCATCATATCTCTCAAATTGCAAAGATTTGATTTTTAATTTTTTAATATATATATATATATATATATATATATATATATATATATATTTTATTTCCTTAGGCCATAAGGAAAAACCAGAATTTGAATCCTTTTTTGTGTATTTTTTTGGGTGGTATTGTGGGTCATATAATTATACAGCATAAGAAAAACTATTAAAGCTCTTTGCTTTTTTTTTTTTTCAGGTGTTGATGGAGAATGGAGCAATTTTTCAGAGAGGGAGGCATGCACTATCAAGAAAAGCAAAACAGGTTCAATTTTGGACCACAAATGTATTATTGCTTGCTACTAATCTCAACAAACTAGGAAAGAATAACAAAATTTTGAATTTACAGAGAAATCGTCTAGACGAAACTCGGACCGTATTCGAACTAAGATCGATCTTGATGCCTCCCAGATTACAGATGTGCAGAATTATAAGTAATATATGCTCCTTTTTACCCTTTGATTGATAATAAGCTTATAAGCAAAAAAAAAAAAAGCTCTCTTTTTTTCCCTTCTTCTTTTTACATGCTCATAATACTTTAGTTTTGCTATTTAATTGTTGTTAGAATCTTTGCTGCAACATGGAATGTGGCTGGAAAATCTCCACCTAATTATTTAAATCTCGAAGAATGGCTCCACACTTCGCCTCCGGCCGACATTTATGTCCTCGGGTGAGCTTTTAAACCGTCCATTTTCGGATTTTCCACCCAATTGTTTGACTTTTTTTTCCCCTCAGAGTAGCTGCTAACAAAAGTCAACTCACAATCTAATTCTTTTTTTTAAGGTTTCAAGAAATAGTCCCACTTAATGCCGGTAATGTCTTGGGCACAGAAGATAACATCCCGGCTCGAAAATGGCTTGCCCTTATCCGCAAAACCTTAAACAGCTTGCCCGGTTATGGAGTAGAAAGTTACCGGACTACCCCATCTCCAGTCCCGAACCCGATTGTCGAGCTCGATTTCGATTTCGAAGGGTCGAGCAGAGAAAAAAATCGGCCCCCGTCTTTTTTTCACCGCGGCTCTTTTCAGTCATTGAGTCGAAGCATGAGGATTATGGAAAACGAAGGCTCGAAGCTCGATCGACGGTTTAGTGTCTGTGATCGGGTGATTTACGGTCATAGGCCAAGTGACTGTTTTTATGATGAAAATGGGTCGTCTGACGAGGAAAACGGGTCGCCTTATTATGCACATTGTAATAACTCGCCCGTTTCCTCGGAGGATAATAGAGATAGAAATTTAGGAAAGTCCATGAGGCATTATTGCTTGGTTGCTAGCAAACAGATGGTGGGGATATTTCTTACCGTGTGGGTAAAGAGCGATTTACGAGATGCCGTACGGAATTTGAAAGTGTCGTGTGTTGGGAGAGGTTTGATGGGTTATCTTGGCAATAAGGTATTCGTTTTTTGCCGAAAAATAAATAAATAAAACTATTGGAGTAATTTGAAAAGGTTGAGTTTTTTCCTGCAGGGCTCGATTTCAATAAGCATGTCTTTGCACCAAACGAGCTTTTGCTTCGTTTGTAGTCATTTGACTTCGGGTGAGAAGGATGGGGATGAGCTAAGGAGAAACTCGGACGTTATGGAGATTTTGAGGAAAACGAGGTTTCCACGCGTTCAAGATGAGAATGAGAATTCCCCCGAAACTATACTCGAACATGAGTAAGATTTTTTTTTTTTTTCTGCTTTTTATCTTATGAATTTGACCATTTTGAGAAAAAAAAAATACTCTGTTAGAACTGAATTCTTGAATATATATATATATGTTATGTTTATCTTATTACAGTCGAATCATATGGCTCGGGGACTTGAATTACCGAATAGCTCTTTCTTACCGATGTGCAAAGGCTCTCGTCGAGATGCGTAACTGGCGAGCTTTGCTTGAAAACGACCAGGTAAAAAAAGCACGTATAATTACTTAATTAGCTCTTTCACTTCAGTAAACTATACTTTTGCTTCCCGTAAAAATTCATTGTTTCTTTTTTTTTTTTATTTTTTTATTTTTTTGTTTACTTTTGCAAACAGCTTCGTATAGAACAGAGAAATGGGAGGGTCTTTACCGGATGGAATGAAGGGAGAATATATTTTCCTCCAACTTATAAATATTCGAATAATTCAGACAGATATGCCGGGGAAAATATGCATCCGAAAGAGAAAAGACGAACCCCAGCATGGTAATATATGCTTATTTATTTTATTTTTTTTAGAAAAAAAAAAAAAAGAAAAAACTAAAGAAATCAAATCAAGCAAAGAAAGGGCAATCACTTATTGATACACTTCTTTTAAATTGAAGGTGTGATCGTATATTATGGTACGGTCGAGGCCTTCAGCAACTATCGTATGTTCGTGGGGAATCGAGGTTTTCGGATCATAGACCTGTTTACAGCATATTTTTGGCTGAGGTCGAGTTTATTAACCGTAATCGGATAAAAAAAAGCACGAGTTATTCGAGCTCGAGAGTTGAGGTTGAGGAGTTGCTGCCTTATTATGCATATGGATATGATGATCAACCGAATTATTTCTAAGGAGTCATTCCCATTTTGATTTCTGCTTGGATTTTGGATCGTGTGTTTCGAATATGAGCAAAACTCGGCCGGTAAGCATATAGCACATTTCTTGTAGTGTTAATCCAAACTTGGATTTCTTCTAAGTTCAATTAATTTTTCGTAACTTTTTTTTAAGTAAAGGCGATAACTTTCATATTTTTTGTCTTCTTTTCTCTTCCAAGGTACAAATCTTATGAGAGTTTACGTGAGAAAACGATGGCTCGGGCGATTTTCCCTTTCGTTCAAGAGGATAATAATAAAGGTAATTTAAGTGTGTTTATTCTCTGTTTCTTTGCAATTTATTATTCATTTCTTCAGATGGTTAATTTAATTGATCTTAAACTATTTGTTAACACACATGTAACATGTTAACCAATTTTATAACCAAATTATGCTCTTTCAAGTTGCAGTGAACAAATTAGCCATCAAGAAAACAAGATTTTCTTAGCAGAGAAATATTGAGGTAAGAATAATTTCGATGTCGTTTTTAAATCTACGAGTCGATTAACTATCATAAAAAAGGATTAACTAATCGCATTTTTATGGTTCGTTTCAGTTGCCATTGTGAAGGGAAAAAATCGCAAAGCGAATTCGATTCGAATGAACACTCAGCTCGATCTTCAGAGACTGCTAGAGAAATTTTTATTATTATTATTATTATTTTTTTTAAATCAAGAAATTGTGAAAGTCCATTTAATCCATTAAAGTTTGAGATTTTTGAACAGCAGAATAAGAAGAAGTTAGCTGACCTGCTGATGCAAATGTAAATGATTTTATATATTTAGAAAGTTTGCTGATTTATTGGTGTATATTACATTTTAATTTTTTCATTGTTCTTTGTTCATTTAATTTGCATTTTTTTTTTTTCTTGTATATGAAAAAAAAAATTCCTTGGAAAGAATAATGCCATGTGCAGTAAT